AAAAAAAAAAAAAGACTGTCTTGGGCCAGCCAGATAGCTCAGCAGACTAAATTGCCTGCTTAGGCAGATGCAGGAATGGGGACTCAGTCCCTAGCATGCTGTGCTGGCCCTGTCCCCAGGACACACTGAGACAGCGACTGAGACTGGGCATGGTGGCACGTGCCTGTAATCCCAGCGCTTGGGAGGCTAAAAACAGGCAGATCACTATGAGTCAGATCTGTGTAGTGAGACCCTGTAGACCCTCTACTAAATACATTTAAAAAAGACTGTCTTATGTAAGTATGGTCAGCATATCTGATGGATGTTTGTGTTTTTAAAACACTTATTACAGTAAAAGACCCGTGGCCACTAATCATCCCTCAGAATACGCCCCTCACTTCAAGCACACTCATCCTGCTGTGCCTGCCACTTTCTGAAGCAATTTTAGGAGCCTTGTGTGGGTCTCTAAGAGACGTGATTAAAAAGTCAGTGCATGCCACTGCCGTCCAATAGAAAGACAGGCTCTTAAGCACCTGACTCTGTGGCCTCAGCCACTGTAGTCCCTGGAGCTGGCACTGTGTGCCTGGTAGTTCCTTCCCAAAGTCAAAGTGACCATGAAAGGTAAATGTTTTAAATGAAGACATCAGGGCAGCCACAACGGCACAACTACAGTCATGAAAGAGGACCCCCAGGACTGCTTCAGAAAGTAACCTGGAGGAAGGAATAAGGGCTTCCTAAGGGTTAAGGGGAGCTCATGGAAATGTCCTTTACTCTAATAAATGCTTCTATAAAAATTTTTAAGCATTCATCATATTTTTTAATCCCCCCATGTAAATGATAAAAATGTGAGCTGCAGTCTTGAGTATTACCTCAGCTATCGTTTCTAGAAATGAAACATAAAACTGCAAATGCGAAACTGTAGGCCATGTGCTCAGCTTAGCCCTGGTCACAAATGCCAGAGGAAGAGATATTTTCCAGTGCCTGCATCTTTATAGCGAAGTTGGTTGTGCGGAAGGGAAGTGGGGAGGCATCCTTTGAAGCTCTTCCTTCAAATCTCTGCAAGCGGCTGGCTGAGGTTCCCTTGTTTCTTGTACCCCCAGCTCCCTGAAGAGGATGACAGTGGGAATGTTCCTGGCTGCCATGGCCTTTGTGGTGGCTGCAGTTGTGCAAGTGCAAATTGACGTGAGTCTTCCCCGAGTCTCCCAAATCCTTTCCTCGTGGGTCTGGGGGGGCACATAGAACCTTTCTCTAGAGCTAAGAGGACTTGGTGCACGAAGGTCTCTCCTATGTACAATTCTTGGCTGTGGAGCTACAAAACGGTGTGAGGCAAGGGTCAAAATAGTTCTCCATCAGTGAACTCTGAATTTTCACACTGTGAAGGTACAGCTGGGGAGAGGGTTGGGTGGGTGCACTGTGTTGAAAGGAGAAAATGACATACGCAGCTTCCACTTAGGCTCCAGTTTTCACCACGGGAGGAAATGGTTTTTTTAGAACCTCAACTTGTAGGAGACCTGGTTAAGTTCATCATTCACAAACAAGCAGCACTTCAGAGTATGTGCAGAGTCTTGGATGGAAATACACATCTTCAGGTGCTCAAGTCTCTAGTGACGGTTAGTTCCTAGACTAATCCACATATCTGTTAGGCCCACAGTACAGTGCACTAATCTAACGTTGTTAGCGTGAGATTAGGCCTTAGTCCAGGAAGTAGGTGTTGTGTGATGTGTGAAGCATGAGTGCCTGTGTGTGTGTGTGCATGCACACACACATGCACACGTGTGTGCCCAACCTTTTCTTTCAAGTTCTTTAAAATCAAAAAATAAAAAGTAAGTTAAATTGTGGTCAATATAGCATGAAATTTAGCGTCGTGCCCATTGGCAAATGCCACCGTTCATTCACGCTGTGGCTACTCTGACCTTTGGGCGGCCAGGGAGAAGGGGGCATCAGAACCCAAAGGAAGATGCCCTTCTGTGTTGCACCGAAGAACTCACTGTCAATTTTTTCTTTTGCACAGAAAACTCTTCCAGTCTTCCCCAAAGCACACCAAGTCCAAATTAAAGTCTTGAATATTGGAAATGACAACATCATTGTATCTTTTCCCGGAGAAACGGTGACCGTGGACCAAATGTCTCAAGTAAGCACGGGGAAATGCAACTTTCTTTCCTGTCTGCTGTCCTGAGTTATGATAGGATTTGGAAAAGCAATTTTCCTTGGTCCTTGTATAAACCTGCCCAGAAGCACAGTGCCTAAGCCTCTTGAGATCTTGCCAGCTCTGCTCTAGCTCACTGCCCTTCTGACTTGAATCTGTGGACTGACCACCTCACAGCTTGTGAGGATGCAGGTTGTATTGGGTTTGGTTTCATTTGGTTGGTTTTGGTTATTTGTGACAAGGTCTCACAGTAGTTCAGTGTGACCTTGAGCTCACCCTATAGTAGGCTGGACTCAAATTTGGCATGATCCTCCTGCCTCAGCCTCCTGAGTGTTAGAATTATAGGCATGCATCACTAGGATGCAGATTCTTAATCAGCAGATCAGACATTCTGTGCTTCCACAGGCTCCTTACTGCTGCTGTTGTCAAAAACCATGCTTCAAGTAGCAGACACGGGTAGTGGTTCAAAACTGAGTGATTGCTTTTCTTGGGGCACATTTGATACTCTGAAGACTTTTCTTTGTCATTGAGACTACAAGTATGCTAGTGGTACCTTATATGTAGAGGCAGAGATGCTGACAATGGGCTTGCAGTGACAAAGAACTGCCTGGCCCAGTGTCAACAGCCCCAAGGTTAGGAAACCTCGCTCTAGGTAGTTGTATTCTGTCCCACTCTTGAGTTCATAGTGGAGTTCCCCCAGGAAGCTTTGAAAACCCCAAGAGCTGGTTCCTAACCCCACCTCACCCTAGTGCTGGGGTAACTGCTCTCATTTCTACTCAGCTGTACGTGGTACCACTGCCTTTGACCTTGCCAAGCTAGTGACCTGGAAGGCACAAATGGTGAATAAGCACATAAAAGACATGCAATGGGTCACGGAGAGGGCTCAGTAGAATAAGCACTTCCCTGGCAAGCTCAAGGGCCTGAGTTCAATTCCCGGTTCTGCCAAAAAATAAAAAAAAAAAAAAAGATATGGAACATCACTGGTCATCACCTATTGGGTGGCTAGAATCACTTATTTGTTTGTGTATTTTGAGACAGGGTCTTTTATGTAGCTCTGGCTGATTCTGAACTCACTGTGTAAGTCTAGTAAAACTTAAACATGTTTGATTCCTGATGCATGGGGCAGCCCAGTACTGGCTCCACCGGTGCTTCCTCTGCTGCTGTTCTTTGCCCAGTGCCTGAGATAATTTCCATGGCATTGATTTTCATGAAACAAAACAAAAGTAAGAGGCTTGATGAAGAGTAAAATGCCTGTGGTCATGCTAAAAAGCTTCATGACAGAACCCATGAGGCTGAAGCCATGCATGCCAACTCTTCACAAGGCATTTCTGATAGGTAAGAATGGGAACTTGGAGATCTGCGTGCCAGTAACTGTGCCATTACAGTTCTGAGTGTGTATTCACTGTGACTCCTTTCTACCCACTCACAGACAGATACATACATGACCTTTGATGTAGACCAACTGACAAGCATCAACATGTCTTCCTCCGGATCACAAGTCACTGCGGTAGCCCACAACTTTGAGCAGGGCCATCGCCACACCCTCCTGGTGTGGACCCCCAGTGACTACCGTGTGGTGAGTAGCTGAAGTCTACCTCTGACTGCTGTGTGTGGAGCTGGAGTCATGGCTTTTATCAGTGTGACTTTGTTTTCCCTCTATATGGTCTTATATCAGATAATCCTCAATTTCTTCCTGCTTTAGAAACACCAGTCATTTGGCTTCTAGTAAAAATTTGACTGGTAGATGGGAAGAATTAAATATGAGTTACAAGGTTTTAAAGGAATTGAATGGGGCATGGTGTTTGTGCAGTTTATGATGCAATTAATCTTCTTGGTTGTTTGCTTCATTAGAGAGCTACTGAGTAACTTTGTCTTAAATGAACAAAGTGGAAAGTAGTGTTCTTTGGAAGCACTGGAAGGCAAAGATCAAAAATAATAGAGGCTCCTGTGAGAAAAATAGAACTCTTGAAATGTAATAAAATTATGCTCTTAGCTATCAGGATAGGGTTGGAAATCATTCTCCTCAAAGGCTAATATGTTAATGTGAATTTATCTTAAGAAATTAGATATCATAAATGTTTTGATGGTACTATTTGCTCTCATCAGATAAAGGATGGGCTCAACAAGAAGCCAGATAAAGGAGAAAATGGAATAAGGTATGAATATTTCTTTAAAATTCAAGTTATGTTACTTTCTCATGGAAGTGATGCATACCCATATGAAACAAGGCTATCAAAGAAGAAATAAAGCTGTCCCTACTCACAGGTGACAACTGTCTACATAAAAAGTATTCAGGACTTTACCCAAATCAAGGTCACAGGGTACAAGGTCAACAAATACGAAAATCCATCCTGTTTCTCTGTACAAAATAAGCGATTGGACCCAGGCATAGTGGTAGACGCCTGTAATACCAGCACTAAAGGCTGAGGTAGGAGGATCACTACAAGTTCAAGGTCAGCCTGGGCTACATTGTAAGTCCTGGCCAGCCTGAACTACATAGCAAGACCCTGTTTCAAAAAGAAAAAAGAGGGCTTGGGGAGATAGCTCAGTAGAATAAGTGCTCGCCTGGCAAGCGCAGGGTCCTGAGTTCAATCCCTGGTACCCAAAAAAAAAAAAAAAGAAAGAAGAAACAATTGGAAATTTTAACATCATATCATTTGCAATATCTCCCCCTAAAGTGTGAAATGTGTAGTACAAACTGAGCAAAATGTGTGGAATTTAAATGTTAAAAACTCCAAAATACTAATGAAAAAAAAAAAAAACAGTAATGGCCAAAAACATGGAGGTCATTGACTAGAAGGTTTAATAAGGTACCATCCCTGCTCTCCCCAAATTGATCTATAGGTTTAGTGTGGTATCTATCAAAATCATAGTATTATTTTTATAAATATAAACCAAGATGATTATAAAATTTACATGGAAAGACAAGGGAAAAATAATCAAAATATATTTTAAAAAGAGTACAATTGGAAGACTCATGTTACTTCCAATTGTAAGACTGTGTGGAGCTACAGTAAACAGGACAAAATAGTATTGGCAGAAGAATAGAGCTGTACATGAAAGAGTTCAGAAACAAGCCACACAAGTACAGTCAACTGTTCTTTGCCCCAAATGCAAAGACAATTAAATAGATTAAACAAATTCTTTTCAAGATGGTATTGAAACATTTTACAGCCACAGGTAAAATGAATTTAACCTAAATATCATACCTGAGCTGGGCCCAATGGCACATGCCTATAATTCCAGCTCTTGAGAGGCTAGGGCAGAAGGATTGCGAGCTTGAGGCCAGCCTGAGCTACAGCGCACGTTCAAGTCTAGTCTGGATGTACTACATAATAAAACTTTGTCTCTAAAAAAAAATTTAAACAAACCTGATATCTTACCCAAAATTCTTGCTGAAAATTGTATTTTAAAATCTTATATATCCTATATGCAAATTAACACAAAATCAATTAAAGATCCACATATAACACGTTAAATCTTAAAGTTCATATAAAAAGCATTAAGAAGTTCTCATAACATTCAGTTCTTAGGACATCAAAAACATAATCCATAGGAGAACACCTTGATAAATTAGACTCTGGTAAAAATAAAACTGTTCTGGCAACCACTACTCTTAGAAGATTAAAACGGTACAAACTGGGAGAAAAAATCTTATAAACCACATATGTGACAAGGAATGTGTATCCAGGATTTAGAAAGTATTCTCAAAACTCAATAATAAGAAAATAGCACAATTTAAAAAACAAAACTAGGGCCAAGGATATATCTCAGCAGATAGTGCCTGCCAAGCAAGCACAAGGTCCTGAGTTCAATTTCTGGTACCAAATAAAAAATAAAAGTAAAGCCAGATGGAGGCAACAAAATGGTGGAGTTGCTATTTATTTGATCAATCTCCCTACATGTAATTACTGTGGGCTGGATGTTTATCCCCATATTCATATGTTAAAGCCCTATTCCAGTGTGATGGTGTGTGGAGATGGGTCTTTGGGTAGTAATTAGAGTTAGAGGAGATCAAGAGAATGCGGCCTGCGTGATAAGATCAGTGCCCTTACAAGAAGACAGACCCAACAAAATGGGGCTCTGTCCAGATGGCAGAGTGGTAAGCAGCAGAGAAAAAAACCTCTCTAAGAGTCACCATCCTGGTGCTGGAGTATAGCAACATGAGGAAGACAAGCAAGAGGATAGTGAGTCCACAGGACTGAGGAAAGATCTGAAGTGCGAATTGAAGCCTGTGGAGAAAGTGAAGAGAGAAACATCAGTGAAGAAGGAGGTAGCCAACAGTGCATTCTCCCTGAGACAGAACTCACTGCATGAAAGGAATGGCTCAAACCTGCAGACACAGTGACTGCTGGTGACCCCAGAGACTGTCACAGAAAGACACAGTAGTAGAGGAGCAATGTATGTGAAGGACTACACTAAGTGGCAAAGTATGTTAAGGGCTCAGTCATCCTGCGTGGGAAAGAGTGATTGGCCAGGAGCCATCCTGGAGAGGGACCAGCTGAGTGCAGAGTTTAGAGCAGCTTCTGACCCCATCTAGTGGCTCCCAGCTGGGCTCGGGCCAGTGGAAGATAAGCTGACAGCTGCAGGCAGAATGAGTCTGGTCTTGACCAGAAGGTGCACAACTCTGCCAAGAAGCTACTGCTGGCTTACTGGAATAGATAAACACGGACTGGAACTCTGTCTCCACATTGTCTCCAGTGACACCAGAGACAAACCAGGAAATGGGCTTTTTTCTTCTCTTTCTCTTTTGTTTTTTGCTGTTGTATTATGATTTTGCTTTCCCCCTTCACTGTTTTATTTCATTTTTATATTAGTTTTAATATGGCTTCTAGCCTTTTTTGTGGGTTCCATTCTATTCTTGTTTTTGTCTCTTCTTTGTCTCTTTCCCTTCCGTTTTCTACACCAATTCTCTGAAGTTAGTGTGATCCCCCTTTGTCCTCCAGTTTTACTTCTAATCTCTTTCTCTTCTTCTCTATTTTCTCCCTAACTCATTTAAAATTTTAACCACTGAAGTTAAATTAATATATTGAGAAATTATATACTACATATAATTTTCTGATCTGCTTTAAGTTTTATTATATAACTACAAATCTAGTTCATATGGTTAAAAGTGACAAATTAAGGAATACCTCAGTTTATCATTTTCTAGGCTGTGATTGTTGCTACCGTTGTTGCTGAGGGTACCACTTTGTTATAACTTTATTGAAAAACAAATAGCAATGAGACAGTTTCAAAACCGATTAGTAGGACAGTTTCAATAACTAATACACTGCATATTATTGTCTTCTTAGTGGTTATTCATAGTACAAGATGCAGACATAATATCCTGTCCACAAACACTATTAGAATGACTCTTTCTATTTGTTGAATTAAGAGAAAGTAGCTGTATATCTATCCTAACATTTTGAATATACAGATACTAAATGCTCCTTCATTTGTATCCCTTTTTTGTTTAGTTTTGTCAGAGAAGGGTATTCCATTGTCATTTAAACATTGTAGGTGCATGAATTCAGCAAAATATTCCAATATAGTCCAGTAGTCCATAATAGTAGTGTGTTTTCCATAAGACTGGAAATGTCAGAAGTTGTTGACTTGAGTTTTTTACAGCTCAGCATATTAATATGGTGTTACTTTTTATACTTCATTTTTATACTTTTCTGCTGAATGGTTAAGACCAAGATAAAGAAAGACCTATCTAACAAGAAATGTAACTTTCCTATCTGATAAGGTCAATCAATCCCCTCAGGATTTATCCTGAAACCCTGTACCACAGTTTGTAGATCATTTGTCAGTGTCAGCCACGTGGATGAGACATGGCCATTGCTTGACCAATTTGCTCTCTGTGAAAGCCTGAGATAATATTTTCTCTCCATGTGACTCTCCTTAGGCACACTCTACATCATCAATCACTTTCCTGAGGGTACAACTTTAGCCACAGCAGATTAAGGCAGTGTGAGGACAGCATCTCAGATATAGAAGACAGGCTTGTGGTTAGAAGTCATTAAAATAAAGATTCCTAAAATAAATAAACAGAGCAAGGAACCCTGAGAAATCAATCCAGCAACTGCTTGATGGAAGCAAAGAAGAATAACTTAAGATTGATTGGAGTCCATGAAAAAGCAGGAAGAGATTTACTCAAATAGTGTTTGTAGACAGGATATCATGTCTGCATCTTGTACAATAAATAACCACTAAGGCAACAACATGCAATGTATTAAGTATTGAAACTGTGCTAGGAATTGGTTTTGAAACTGTCTCATTACTATTTGTTTCTCAATAAAATTATTTAAAAATTAAAAAGAAAAAGCAGAAAATAGTACACATGATACAAAAAACCTGTTCACAGATGTCATGGCAAAAAACTTCCCTGGTAGGAAAAAGGAATTTGACATACAGTTAAGTGAGGCACATAGAATTCTAATTAGCCATGATTGAAAAAAAATCTATATCCAAGCATATCATAACCACGCTTCCAAAAATTAAACACAAGAATAGAATCTTAAAAGGTGTTAGGGAAAAGAAACAAATCACCTATAAAGCAAGCCCATAACAATTATAGCTGACTTCTTGGCATGAAACTTCAAGCCAATGTGAGCTTGGAGTGAAGTATTTCAAAGTCTAAAGGAAAACAGTCTTCAACCCAGATTGATGTACCCTGCAAAACTATCTTTTTTTTTTTTTTTTTTTTTTTTTTTCTATTTAGGGCAGGGTCTACAGGCTCTCACTGTGTAGATCAGACTCATAGTGATCCTCCTGTTTTCAGCTTCCCAAGTGCTGAGATTACAGGCGTGCACCACCACACCCACTCTCAATCACCCTCTCAGCACACCCTGGGGGTAGGCCTGGCATGGCAGGGCTGGGGATTGAACCTCCAGCCCCTGCATCTGCCTAAGCAGGTGCTTTAATCTGCTGAGCTATTTGGCTGACCTTTATCTTTCAAAACTGATGGAGAAATAAGAGACTTCCATGACAAAGAACCTCTGAGGAAATTTTGGCCATCAACATAGCATTCTAAAACATTATGAAAGACATTCTAGAAAGAGGTAAAAAGGACTACAAATCTATGAACCCAACAGAAGGGATCTATCAGGAAAGACAAACAATTAAACAGAGAGGGATAGAGAGAAAGGGGGTAGCCAACAACAGGAAAATA